GTTGGAGGTCCATTTTGCAGTCGTCTGTTGCCTTGTCTACTACATAGGCTGAATATATGGCAGTTGTTGAAGCTATAAAGGAGGCCATTTGGATACATGGGCTGATTAGAGATTTGGGGGTTGATCAGAAGCAGGTGGAGGTACATTGTGATAGTCAGAGTGCCATTTATTTGGCTAAGTATCAGGTTCATCATGCGAGGACCAAGCACATAGATGTGCGTTATCACTTTGTTCGTGAAATTGTTGGTGAAGGGGAAATCATTCTCCAGAAGATTCCAACTAAAGACAACCCCGCTGATATGTTGACTAAGGTTGTTGGTGTAGCCAAGTTTGTTCACTGTTTGAACTTGGCTCACATTATGCCTATATAAAGAAGGCGTTGAGCAGTAGGAGTTTTGGAGCATTTGGCTCGGCATGAGTTGTTCTCTTGCTAGTGTTTGGGAGTGATTTTTGTGTTGATTGTGTTGGTTGGCTTATCATGGTGTTTTCGGAATTTGGCCAAAGTGGAGATTGTTGAATTATGGCCAAACAAACAACTTTCGGCTATTAAAAAAAGGAAAAGAAAAAAACAAGACAAATGATTATGTTTATTGAAAAGAAAAAAGGAAAGTCATGATGATGTTTGTAAAGTAATCATTATGTTTTTACTTTGGTTTTGTTTATTGGGTGTTGAGGATGGATGAAGGTGAATATACGGAAGTGAGAAAGAGAGATGAAGTGTGCACCATTTTTTCAGTTTTAGTAGCCCATCTTTGAGAGAGCAAAGAGAGCTGCAGAGAGCAGAAAACTGAGAGCAGAAAAGAAGAAGGTGCTCTTCTTTTTTGTTAGCAATCATCCATCATAGTTATGTTGTAATAGCTTTGAGCTACATGTATAGAGAAGAAATTATTCATTATATTTCTTTCTCTATTTGTTTCTGTGGTGTGTGAGAGCTATTGGGTGTATTGGGTTATTTGGGTTGTGAGATTGCCAACACTTTGTAAACTCTCATTTGGTTGATAGTGGATTATTGGGTGAGCTCCTACTGCTCCGAGGACGTACTCCAGTTACACTGACTGTTGAGGAACCTCGTTAAAATCTTGGTTTTCTTTAATATTTTGTTCTTGCATTTTCATTTGATAAATTTCCTGTGGATTAGCTTGAGTTGGTTCCAAAAATGTTTGGTGCTATCCTAGCACAACAAATCTAGCACTCCTCCAGGTGTATTTTTTTATATTAGAAAATTATTTCATTGTTTTACCTCAACATGAACAAAAAGGTCAATCTAGCACTCCTCCAGATGTATTTTTTTAGACAAGGGAAAGCAACGTAACTCTAACAGTTTCCTATGGTTTGCAGATAAAACAGTCAATTTGATTGTAGCAGAAATAATATATCCTATATATTTTTGTAAACACACAACATAAATGTAAATGAATCATGACACGATTGTCTAAAGAACACCTAAAAACCTAAAAGATAAAATCACATAAAACAATTTGCATGGACACCAAGCAAAAGAAAGAGAAATAAGGATAAAAAATAAGAAAAAAGGAATTACATCAGATACTGAAAACATCATTAAGAGTACAAATCTGTGATAAAATCAACCTAAATATAATTAAAACATTTCTGAATTTCAACTAATTAAAACAATTAGTCTAGCAATACTGCTCCTCCCGGTGTTGGAGGAGACCCTAAGTTTGAATCTCCCTCCCCCATTATTTGGATTTCGGTTTCTATTAGTTAACTTGAAAATTTGATCAACTTTTGCCCATGACTTATTTGGCATACTGGTCTCAATGAGTGTGAATGTTTTGCTTAAGAGCTGCATTTTGGTTGAGTTAACTTACATTTCATTCCCCCCAAAGTTGAATGCAAGGGACTTGTTGACTTGTTCTATCCTTACGATATAAGCAGTTGGATTTCGGTTTTGACAATCTATGTTTAAATTATATATTTTGTTCCTTCATCGACATCGCGTTGACTTGTACCTGCCGCCTTTGCTGGCTGCTCTATGTGGTGTGTAATTATACATAAAAAATTCAGAGTTGAAATCTTCTGTGTTTGCTCGTCTTGGTAGGCTTTCTTCACGTTGCCTCCACTCTTGTTTAATTTTCATTTTTTGTTATTGTTTCCTGCAGTTGGCGGTTGTCTTGGCCTTTATTTTGTGTTATCGAGACTCCCATCAAATGAAATTCAATGGAACAGACGGCTGTTGTGATTTTATGAAGAGGGTTTCTTCTTTGTCACCAATGAACAATGAACAAGTGTAGCATTGACCGTAGAGGAGGTGAGTGTTTTAGACCAAGATCAATTAGTGCTCAAAACAAACACGTGAGATTATGTGTGACGGAAACAGGTTTTTTATGCGATAACAACCAGAAGGCTGAGGCTGCGGCTGCTATTTTCGAATCTACAGAAGAAGATGTTGATCTATGTAAACAAGAATTTACACAAATGTTCAGAGGATGAGAATGCAAGAGGTATTTTGCATGCTCTTCTGAGGGTGCTGAGTCTTCTTGTGGAAATTCCTCTGAAGGATCCCCAAGTTGTGGTTTCTCTTTAGCTCCTCTAGATTTTGAGAGAATAGGTTGCCGCTTTTCGTTGTTGAATCTTGATGGAGATGATTACAAACTGACACCAGGTACAGATTCAAGGTCGGATTGTTTTCTGTCTGATTTTCCCAGCCCAATCTTACAAAAGTAGTTGTTGGAGGCATGACTTTCAGTGATCTAATTCTAGTGTTTCTACACCCAGTGAAGAACAAACTGAAATATCATCTGGGTGTGATTTTTCATCAGAACATGCTTCTGAGGCTGAAGTTTTGGAAGATCTAACCACTACTGATGAACTGCTTTTCTGGCCATTTAAGTGGAAAACTGATTGGAATTCAGAAGAGACCTGGAATTACTTTTCCATGTCACCCCGGAAGGGTATATGTATAACAGCTTCTGGAACTCCACCGGATTCCATTCCGTCAAAACACCATGATAGGAACATGGATGTCGAAGATGTTGGGTTTTTTTCCAGCCCATGATTAGTTGTCCTAAGTCTATTGGGAATTAATAGTCTTAGAGGATTAAATTGTTTTCCCAATTGGAGTTGTTTACCCAATTGGAGTTAGTTTCTCAATTGGAGTAGGATTCATAACTAGATTCCAATTAGGATTAATAATCCTTATTAAAGAAGACCTTTATTATGTCTATATAAAGGGGCTATTATACTAGATTTGAGAAGGGAGCAAAACAATAAATTGTATACCACTCAAGAGATTAGAGTGAGAGAATATTGTGTGTGCGAGAGAAAAGAAAAGAGAGTGTATTTCTTGTTCTTGTTCTTTCAGGTTTTTCGTCAAGTTCTAGTTCTAGAGATTTGGCAAGATTATTGGTTGTACTCATTATTGATATAGTGAAGGATTGTTTTTGCTGTCACGTGGACGTAGGCACATATTGCTGAACCATGTAAATTCTTGGTGTTATTTATTTTGGTTATTTGTTTTTTGATTTCCGGAGTTTGTTCTTGTTTTTTCCATTCTTAAGCGCGATATTCTCAACAGAATAAGGGCAGGGGGTAAGACTAGTTTCAGCTCAGGATCAGCAGCATCGAAGATTATGAAATTGAAGCAAAAATACAAGGGGTGTCTGGCGGACTAATTCTTTGCCTTCAAGGTTGAGCAGGGCAACCAAAGGTTGTGGGAAAATTGTACCTTTAGATGCCAAATATTATGCTGTAGAACCCGAAAATGGAAAAGTTCATGTCAGTGAACCAGTTGATGTTGATGGGCCTTGCTGAGTTTGTTGGACACGAGGGAGTTGATTCAGAATTCAACGAAGATGATTTCTCACTGCATGCGCCTCTTTGTTAGTTCGATTGTAGAACGTTTCTCATTGCGTAGGTGAATGAACCACAAAGTGAAAATCTGGACTCTTATAACAGTCTTGGTCAGTCTTTTAACAATCATATGCAGTCGGTTTAAAGGCAAAGCATGGCCTGAAAGTATCACCTGACAATTGAAGTCCAACGCGATAAGGGTCACATCTCATCCAGCCATTTTTGCTCTTTCAGCAACTTCTGCAGAGTCAACTTATTTGCTGCATTCTCTGTTCTAGTTTATTAGTTTTGCGAGAAATTTTCAGCTCAAAAATCGTTTAAAGCAAGTCAACCAGTAAGCAGATACCATACTGTCTCCCCATGTCTCCAATCCATATGTGCTTTTGGTTTGATGAATCCGTGTAGGACAACGATTAAACTAAAAGAGTTACAATTATAATTCAAAGACTATGAGAAGTGAACAACTCCTGATGGGATTTGGTTTAACGCACAGAAGCTATAGATTTGCTGTCCTGGTCCGTGTTGGATTGAGGCACAGTAGCCACGCTTGTTTATCATTATGTCGGTGGTTCCAAAGCCACAGGGACCTCCCCCGTGGCCTTGACACCCGAGACTTGCTCACAATACTACGGTGTTATTCCACCACTTCCCCATTTGCTAATTTAACATATTGTCGTGTCAAAGTGTCTTCTATTGTGCTGTAGTGTGAATGTGAAAGCAGTTCTGGCTGTTGCCAGATTTAGAGAGGAAAGGCACAAACCTATATTCGACATAGCGGAAAAGTTTAAGAATGCCTGGAAGATCAAATGTACTTCGATGCGCGACATGGTTCAAAGATGCAAGGTCAGATTGCATCCTGTAGTTCCATATGTGTTTGCTTTCAAAGTAATCCAGGGTGAAAATTATCCATGTAGGTTCAATTTTTTAGGGTAGCTCTTTGAACTAGAGGAAGGACACAAATCCATAATTCAATTTTCTTTTTATTAATTGTGGAGTTATTTTGACACATTATGGATTATCGGTTTAATGCAATTACGATTAAGAAAGTTCATCACACATTAATCCGCATTCGACAAATAATACAGATGAGTAATTACGGTATTGAATATCTATTACATGAGAAATTAGATGGAATTGCGTGTGGTAGGAATACAAAAGGGAAGTTTGAGCTATTCGCCCTTGTCTTCTTTTTTTGTTTTATTTTTTATAGTGCCATTAGCTTGTTGATTGTCAACATACCAAATGGTTCGGGAAGGCAAGGCAGGGTTTGAGCCGAGAGTTTTTGTGCCACAAATAACATCGTGGGTCTGGACGCAGGACGCGTTCGTATACAGGCCAAGGCCATTGTCACCACAAGCACCACTGCCTTTGCAGATTCATTGGTTGGCGGCTCCAACCTTTGGTCTAACAAATCTTTCAGGAGCAATTCTACATTGTCCCTCCTTGATTTTGATGATTCTTGTAGCTGGGACTCTAGCATATCCCCTGGGTGCCTTCCCATCATGACTTCGAGCGCCACCACTCCAAAGCTATATACATCACATTTATCCGTGACTCGCATAGTGTATGCAAGCTCTACACATCAATAAAAACACAATTGGCTACCTTAAAACATATCCCAATAAGCAAAAAGATGAATCATAAATGTACAAATTAAGTTTACATTACCTGGTGCTATGTAGCCAAACGAACCAGCAATATCTGTCCAGTTGGATGAATCAGTACTCAATAACCTGGCTATTCCGAAATCTGAGAGACGAACCTCGAAATTAGACTCAAGCAATACATTATTGACGGTTATGTCACGGTGCACAATTGGTGGAGAGCAATCATGGTGCAAGTAAGAAAGTGCATGAGCAAGTCCTTGCACAATTTTGACTCTAGTAGCCCAACCAAGTTCATTAACACCTTCAACTCCATACAAAGTTTTTCCCAGGCTTCCTCTCTCTAAGTATTCATAAAGCAGGAATATGCAACCCCCCCCTTCTTGAACAGAAGCCATAGAGCCTTATGATGTTCCGGTGCCGGATGCTTGTCAAAGTTCGGATTTCATTCTGAAAGCTATGGAGATTAATTGCTGGAATATCATTAGAGTCTGACATGTTAAGCCTTTTAACTGCAACAACTTGGCCTGATTGCAACTCTGCCTTGTAAACCCTTCCAAACCCTCCTGTCCCAATGCAGTACTTCTCATGAAAGTCATCTACAGCCTTCACAACTTCCGCAAACGTAAACTTTACTTCCTCTTGCAATATCATTGACTCCAAACTCTCAAAGTTTTCAGAAGTGTTGACTTTGTTCAAAACGAGACTGGATTTTTTACGGAACATAAGACCAATGACAATTGTAACCATTAATAAACCACAAACAGGTACAAGGACACCAATTAGAACTCTTTTGTTATTCTTTGCGGAATTTCTGTTGGGGCAAGTTGATATACTGTCTAGTCCTTGTACATACCCACACAAGCCAGAGTTTCCAGCAAAAGCATTTGCTGGTGCCCATTGGAAGTTGTATGGGATTAGGCCAGTCAAGTTGTTATAAGAAAAATCAAAGTCAGGAAGAGATAACACGTTGACAAATGGTGGGATTTGCCCTGAAAGATGGTTGTGTGACAAATCGAGCAGCTGAAGCTGAGATAAATTGCCTAGATTCTGAGGAATCTCCCCACTGAGTTCATTGGACTGAAGTTGCAAAGAGACCATTTTAGTCCAATTGAAGACCAGAGAAGGAAGGATTTGACCAGTAAATAGATTATTATCCAAACCCAATTCGACAAGGTTGTTCAGATTGAACAAGGACAGAGGCAGTTCCCCGTTGAGTTTATTGGAAGCCAGGTACAAGTGCGTGAGGCTTGTACAAAGACCAAGCTCAGAAGGGATAGAAGAGTTTAAGGAGTTGTATGAAAGATCAAGGTACTGGAGCTCCCTGAGTTGGCCTATAGAGACAGGGATAGAAGAGTTTAAGGAGTTGTATGAAAGATCAAGGTACTGGAGCTCCCTGAGTTGGCCTACAGAGAGAGGGATAGAAGAGTTTAAGGAGTTGTATGAAAGATCAAGGTACTGAAGCTTTCTAAGTTGGCCAATCGAAGTTGGAATTTGGCCAAACAAATTATTTTGAGACAAGTCGAGGAACGTCAATGAAGGCATGCCTGTAAATTCAGATGGAATTTGTTGATCAAACAAGTTGTTGCCCAAGTCCAAAGATGTGAGCCTGGAGAGATTTCCAATGGCATACGGTATACGCCCTAGGAAATTGTTGCCATTTAGATTGAAGTGGGTGAGATTTGGAAATAAGGGAAAGTCGAAAAGGGACAGTGATCCGATAATGTACATATTGGAGAGGTCTATTTTGGAGACCGTTCTGGTTTTGGAGCAGGAAATGGCAGTCCAGTTGCAGAGGCTGTTGAGGTTGGTGAGGGACCATGAATTGAGTAGCGAAGGTGATGAAGACCAGTCGTCCTTCCATTTGATGAGCGATTCAGCTTGTTGTCTTGGCGATATTGATGTCGTTTTGATCAGTGGGAATGCGGACAGCAGCAGGAGCATATAAAGAAATGTCATGGTTTAGAGTTGCAGTAGGATATGTTTTTTCGCCAGTTTGTAAGCGTCACAAATAAATATGGGAGCTAGTAACAACTTTGGAGGTGCAGAGTTTCTAATCCTTTCTTTACGCTTGGAATTTCTGAAAGGATTTTCTACTCAATCAAGAGCTGTATGGTGCCAGTTTCTAGTCTTCCCGACAAGCGTGGAGTTGACGCTTGGAATTTTTGAATATTATTATTAGTCTTCAATATGACCACGCTAACTCCATGTCCTGATTTGTAGAATAGTAAACATGGAAGGGGCACACCCCATTCTAATTGGACCACAGAACTATGTTTGAAGATTGACGATGGTAATGGTAAAGGGTTTTTTTATTAGTACCTCATATATTGTTAAATACATCTCACATAAATATATATTATTAAATCACTCATGTATCTTAACATAAAATGACTATTTAGCCCTATAAATTTTAAAAGAAATAGAATACACAAATTATTTACTAATATGAACCCTAACTCTGAATTGGTCGTCATAAACCCGAACCCTAAAACCCTAAAAATAAAAAAATGTTATGAATTCGTAACCAGACATACTTCATTATGGATTTTGTAAGAACTACAACATTTTTTTGTAGTCAAAATCTATAACTACTCCAAAACAAAATTTCAATTTCTCAAAAAAAAAATTGAATAAATACATTATATATAAACAAAATTTTCTCTAAGTGGTGAGCTTGGCAGTCAGCACTACTTTCTTTTAAGTTTTGTACAGTAAAAAGAATTGAACCCATTATAATTTTGAAAAAAAACAAAAAAAAAATTCACCCATGTCCTATCATTCTTTTTTGGGTCAAAATTTTGTGAGATTGACTCTAAAGGAGTAACAGAGAAGGATACAAATTCTAGATTTGTGATCTACCAATAAAATAAACCAACAATCGAATGTCATGTAGTCGACCTCATAATTAGCATTTACATGTTTAGCGAGAGTCTTGAAATTTGGAGGTGTGGTGAGAATGAACAATGAGAGAATGTTGAATGTATGTGAAAAAATGTGGGGTGTATGTAGAAAGTTTGGGATGTGAGGGTAGTATAGGAAAGTATGTGAGGTGGGAACCGGATCCCCTCCTGAGCATGGGGACCGAAGCCTACTGAGCAGCTCATCTGGACCTTTAATTCAACGGCTACAAACAGGAGGTCCCTTTAAAAGTTATAATAATTACAGCCGTTTGATCAAATTTCAAGGGCTCAGATGGGCTGCTCAACAGGCTCTGGTCCCCATGCTCAGGAGGGGATAAATTTTGATTGAAAAAGTAGATGTGGGATGTATTCAACAATACGTGGGGTGTTAATAAAACAACCCAATAGTAAATTGTAAATTGTATAGTGTATATATGGATAATCTTCAAAGTTTTTGTTTGATAAGATTAAACATAATATTTCAGTTTCAATCAAGTGAAGTAATAAAATTGAATATATTTGCGTGAATGAGCTAGTACGAACTTTGGAGGTGCAGAGTTTCTAATCCTTTCTTTACGCTTGGAATTTCTGAAAGGATTTTCTACTCAATCAAGAGCTGTATGGTGCCAGTTTCTAGTCTTCCCGACAAGCGGGAGTTGACGCTTGGAATTTTTGAATATTATTACATAAGGAAGACAAAATAATAATTTTGTATCTTTTAAGAAAATGATTATCATATCCTTATTTTTTTCTATTTTACCCTCACTTTTGATACATAGTATTTACATAAAAATGGTAAAATGGTAATTATGTATGACATGCCCCGATCCCGATATTCCCCGAATACCAGGATAAACACGTGTTGGCCGACACCTGAGGGTGACAAAAGTCATTTATTGAATGCATGAGGACTAAAATATGAATAAGACTAAAGAAATTTAAATATAATTAATGTGCACAAAAGGAATGCATTCAGAGCATACAACTAACTAGAACACTAAAAGAAATAATATAAAATTGAATGAATAAAAGAATGAGTCCTACACCGAAAGGACTCGAAGGTACCGCTGTGAAAGTGCCTTGATGCCGGGATTGTATGCCTCGATTCTAAGTCCTGAAGGGGGCGCAAAACAAACATGAGTGGACCAAGTTGATATATATATATATATATATATATATAGTAAAACAGTTATCAACATACTAACCCTCATATTTTATGAAAACACATATAGCATGTGAAATCCCGTTCCTGAATTTCACTATTATATTATACGTATTGGTGTTATTGAGATTTTATATTTTTCGAGAAATTCATTATTTAAAATCCGTAGACCATTCGAGGTCACAAATTATATTATTGAATAGATATCGAGATCACGAACGCATAGGTGAAAACTGTTTGTGAGTCCGGATTATAATGGTATAATTACGGACGTTTGAAGTTGTGATGCAAAAAAAAAAAAAAAAAAAAAAGAGAAAAAGCCACAGGTGTGGCTTGAGAAAAAAAAAGGGAAGAAGGAAAAAGGAAGAAATGGTGCATGCTAGGTAGGCTAGGTGTTGATTATGTTATGTGAATTTAAGACTTTTTGGTATTGGAAAGTGGGAAGGTAAGCATCATAGAAGCATCCAAGGGGGGAGAGCACCGGACTCTCCCATGGGAAAGGTTGACCATGGGTTGATAAAAATCTAGAGAGCTAGAGTGAATATTATTCTAATGAAAGAACTCTTGGGGTAGGATGAGACTCTTAGGAAAATTCTAGGAGTGGGTGTATAAGGGATTTGAGATTGGGTTATGTCAATTTAACTCATGACTTGTACTGTTATTCTCATAGTAAATAACAATATCTCTTTGGGGACGTAGACAAGTTTTTGACAAACCTCGTAATTCTCTCGGTGTCTTTATTTCTTATATTTTGAATTGTTCAACTGTGGGTTTGTATTTTGGTGATGTTGTAATCTGAATCTCATTTTCGCACTAACGAACAGGCCAAAGCACAACAGTTAACGCATATAATATCCAACATGAACGTCAAGCGTGTGGGTTGAGGCATGTAAACGTATGTCACACACGAAGACGGGGTGCAGTCTCTCCTGTGGCAACTCCAAGATTTGATACTACGTACCCGTGTTTCTTCAAGAAATGCCTCCACTGTGGCAACACAAAAGAATGAATGTTGAAGGCCATGCGAGTGGACCTTTCTAATCCTTGCAAGTGCCTGTAGTAGTATATACTTTCTATTATTGCTCACATTCATGGAAATAATTATGTTTGTACCTTAATTTACAATATTTTCTCATCTACACCTGAACTGAGAATGATCTAAATTGTGATTTTCTATTGCATTTCTTAATTTCAATGGAAGGAGAGAGAAAGAAAATCAGAGAGACTTGGAGTTTAGGTTTAAGGAAAAGCTTTGAGATTTAAGTTTCTCAACAAAAAAAAAAAAAGAATAAATCCATTATAATATAAACAATTTTTTCTCTAAATGGTAAGCTTGGTAGTCGGCACTACCTTTTTTTTAAGTTTTGTACAATAAAAAGAATTGAACCCATTATAATTTTGAAAAAAGCAAAAAAAAAATTCACCCATGCCCTATCATTCTTTTGTGGGTCAAAATTTTGTGAGATTAACTCTAAAGGAGTAAGGATACAAATTCTGGATTTGTGCTCTACCAGTAAAATAAACCAACAATCGAATGTCATTTAGTTGACCTCATAATTAGCATTTACATGTTTAGCGAGAGTCTTGAAATTTGGAGGTGTGGTGAGAATGAATAATGAGAGAATGTTGAATGTATGTGAAAAAATGTGGGGTGTATGTAGAGAGTTTGGGGTGTGAGGGTAGTATAGGAAATTATGTGAGGTGGGAATCGGATCCCCTCCTGAGCATGGGGACCGGAGCCTACTGAGCGGCTCATCTGGGTTCTTGAAATTTGATTTAACGGCTACAAACAGGAGGTCCTTCTAAAAGTTATAATAATTACAGCCGTTGGATCAAATTTCAAGGGCTCAGATGGGCTGCTCAGCAGTCTCTAGTCCCCATGCTCAGGAGGGGATACATTTTGATTGAAAAAGTAGATGTGAGGTGTATTCAACAATATGTGAGGTGTTAATAAAACAATCCAATAGTAAATTGTAAATTGTATAGTGTATATATGGATAATCTTAAAAGTTTTTGTTTGACAAAATTAAACATAATATTTCAGTTTCAATCAAGTGAAGTAATAAAATTGAATATATTTGCGTGAATGAGCTAGTACGAACTTTGGAGGTGCAGAGTTTCTAATCCTTTCTTTACGCTTGGAATTTCTGAAAGGATTTTCTACTCATTCAAGAGCTGATGGTGCCAGTGTTGACTGACCCGAGTCTTCCCGTCTAGCGTGGAGTTGACGCTTGGAATTTTTGAATATTATTAGTCTTCAACATGACCACACCAACTACTTGTCCTGAATGGGGCACTTGTCAGCCATTAATTCAATGGACTCCACATTACTAATAATGGATGACCAAAAGTTGGACTACTTTATTAATTTGTCTTAAATTTTTTATAAAGTCTAGTTTCTTTCAAGTACGAGACATGTTGTTGAGCTCTTTCAGTCTAGCCCGTGTTTTTTCACTTCTTTAGGGGTAGATTTGAAGTTAATAAAAGATTCAAAAGTGGTTTTTATTTTGTCTACTTATCAATGTATTAAAAGCGTGAGGCGTGGTAAGACGAAGGATAGTCCGGCCTAGAAGTGAGGTGAAGCTTCACAAGACTTAAATTTTTTAATATATATACTGAGCGTACACATATATTATATTAAAAAAAAATTATTAATCAATAATCACCATGAGTACACATATATATACATATATTATGTTATATATATCTATTCTATTAAGAGAACCCTCCTTGTCAAAATTTTGTCACTTTTTTTCCAATTTTGCCCTCAATTTTTATACACAATACTTACATAAGGAGGACAAAATAGTAATTTTGTATCTTTTAAGAAAATGACAATCATATCCCTATTTTTTTCTATTTTACCCTCACTTTTGATACACAGTATTTACATAAAAATGGTAAAATGGTAATTATGTATGACACGCCCCGATCTCGATATTCCCCGAATACCAGGATAAACAAGTGTTGGTCAACACCTGAGGGTGACAAAAGTCATTTATTGAATGCATAAGGACTAAAATATGAATAAGATTAAAGAAATTTAAATATAATTAATGTGCACAAAAGGAATGTGTT